TAACCAAGGATGACATAACCAAAATCTCACGCAAACACACAAATCAATAAGCCAAATTCCCTCGTGTCCAGCTATAGAAGACACCTAAATAAGACACTTCTCCAAGTTTTGGGCCTGTGCATTTCCCCAAACTTCAGGAATTCGTCGTAAATGTTTCCCAGAAATTTACAGAGCCCAGTAAGAAAACGCCATGTTGGTATACATCCGTGGTACACCAATATGGCGGCCGGAATAAGTGTAAACATCTGGAACTTACTTTGGCTTTCTAGGCGACTGATTATCAGTACTAAACAAACAAGCATATACATAAGCACTTTTTCTAATGCTCTAACTTCTAAAAGGCTCAAAATCATGAGATAAGTATATATTTTTTAACAAACTCGTGATGTGATGCTTCAAAGAGTTTCTTCACAGCAGTGAACCGCAGGGGGTGGCCAAAATCGTTGGGTTACGACTCAAATAACGTTTGTAAAGTACTGTAGAAAATTAATAGCCTAAAGAAAATATGCGCCGCTATGATTGGTTTAAAATCGTATTTCTATAACTCGATAAGAAACAAAGAACTAGCACGAAATGTTGACGTAAGGAGAATTGACATTTTGATGATTAAACTAAGCAAGTTGTTCTCTTGCTTTGGTCGCGGAATTTTCTAAAAGAAATAGAAAACATGTTCTCCGTGTTTCTAACTCGTTATAGAACACCCGTGGAAGTTTTGGAGAACTCGAAAAAGCCGTGGATAAATTCGCCTGTACGGCTCGCGTTTTAACCCTCGTTCTCCCAAACTTCCACTCGTGTTTCGATCTACTCGATAGAAACACGGTGCATGTTTTCTCTCAAATACGGTCAAATGTAAATAAACATTTTCGAAAAATCTTTTGAAGTGTCACAAAGGGTGAATTCCATTCAACCAAAAATTCCAGAAATTTGGAAACGAGGGTAAATAATAGATAAAACTCAAGGAAAATTTCCTTAAGATTGGAAGATTGTCGACCTTCCGAAAGGCGAAGCTATCCGGAGAAAAGTTAGAATGAAGCGTAAAAGCGAAGCGCGCGAGTGACGTCATAACTCAGACAAACTCAGACAAACAAAATGGAATGGTGAAAGAGTTGAAGCTTTCTTCAAGCGCGTAAGCAAGTGTTCCTAAAACAATTCTTAAAACGAAAATTTGGCGCTCAATTTCCTCCTATTTCTCTCAGAGCACGCTAATGTTGTCTGACTCTCGTGGGGTTCAAATAATTTGCATTCTATTTTGAGACTTCGGGCGCTTCGTTATTCCCAGTAAGCAATTTTCGAAAATTTTCGGTATACTTCGGAAGTTGTGCATTTTATGGAAATTCCAGAAAATGTTGCTCTACTAGCCTTGAAAATTTCCGGAAATTCGAAGCGGAATTTTTTCTCGAATTGGAAGTGCCCACAGAAAGTGAACTGAAGACCACGTTACACTCTTTTTGTTTGTAAGAATCTTTCTTGTAATAATATCGAAGCTGAAATTAGCCATACTTTATGTATATGTTAAGAACATACCTAAGTGCTATATTTTGTTAAAGAACGTTTGTTTGTGGGGAGGGAAAATAAAATATAATAAAACAACACAATGTTTCTAAATGAACTTCATTTTAACGTTGAATAATATAGTGATTTTTTTAATTTTTTTTTCTTTTTTTTTTTTAACAAGCTAGGACTAGCTAAGAAAACGATAGCAACAGTGATATGACCCAGACACCGGCACGCAGTCCTATTTGATGGAATACATGTCATATACTCTATGATCTAAGAATGTACACTGAATGTTTTCAGCCTGAAGTCGGCCGAAAAATATGAAGCATGGGGGTGAAAAATATACACACTTGTAAAAACAAACAAATAAATGATTTTGAAAATTGATGATAAATTAAAAATATACGAGCGTGTTAATCATTTAGAAAGTTGAACGCCATCACTTTATCTATGATCCTTATCAGTTAAAAATACGTAAGTAAACTGACCGGAATCATAAGGGAAACATTTATGGATTTTTTTCTCATGGCACGAGTAGTCATTAAGAAAATAATGAAGTTGTTTAGCAACGACGTACAACACGTTGAAACAACACATATCAATAAGACTCCTGTTTTGATCTACTCGAAACGCCACAGTCGCACTATTGGTTGATAATGAATATACTAAGAATAGGGGTTACAGGTGCTTCGATGAAGATTTCAATAAAAACTTTTTTGCAAAACATGTTATTAATCAATACTCGTTTAACACACAGAATATAATGCAATGTCCTGGAGCAGTATTATTCATTACCAGGTGATAAGAAACTAATGACCCTTTTTAATGACAGATCTCAACACATAGACATTTAATTTTTTATTACCACGGACGGAACACGCACGCTGGCATTCGTTCCAAATACACATTGCAACAAGGAAACATTTTCCCGACAAAAAGTGTCCACCGAAAACTGATTTTCCCTTCGTTTCTTCTCCATGATGATTAGTAAGGTGATATGCAAAACAATTTCTTTTCTTTATTTAGAATGTAGTCTACATTTGGAATATAGTTAAATTTCATAGCTCCGGGCAATTTGGTCGGTAAGGACATAAAGTTAGAAATACAAGGAATATTAAATGTAGAAATAGCATCAATTCGGAAAAAAATCGGAGTTCCAGACGGGATTTTAACCCACGACCCTCTGTGATCTAGCCGGATGCTCTAACCTTTGAGCCACTGGAGACATAAGGACATAAAGCCTCATAAAACCCGTTTCAAGGGCACCTGATGATATTTTTCGAACAGCATTAAATTTATGTTAATGTTCCCAATTAAAAAAAGAAAAGCCTCCTACGCAGATGTTCTTTTGTCTCGTCAGACCATCCTCTCCTACGAACGGCAGTTAAAACAAGCAGCTATTTATTAATGATAGCGTGCTTCCAAATGTTGGAAGTCTGCGGTAAATCTGCACTTTGCAATTACGAAAAGTGATCGCGACACACCAAAATACTAAGATGGGCTTTCAACGAGTGTGTCAGCTGACTATCAAAATAGTCCGTTGTAGAGTGGGGGTCATATTAATCGCCCCAAGAGAGACTGTTTGGCTAATAATTAGCTTTTCATTTCACAATTACCTCGTGCTGATTGGTTATTAGCAATTTTCCCGCGAACCCCATGCAGGTGATAATTAAAAAAACACCAGTGAAAACACACTATAAAAAAAACAGCGCTCTAAAGCCGCCTTAGAGCCTCCATTGAAAGCATTCCTTCCCGCTTTCGCAAAACAGACGTCCCAAAATACAGATTTCATATTCCTCGCTAACAGGTTCGCGTGGCACTTGATTAGTCTTCGCCGCGGAACTTGGCGGCCCTGATCCATGTTTCGGATGGATCGTTTTCAATGTACTACCAGCTTTTTGGCTTTGATGGTATCATTCAGCGCCATAGCAACTTCAAAAGGTAGCGTTGCTTGTATATCACTTCTTTTAGATAAAAGCTTATTTTTTAACCCAATTCAGAACTTTCGTAAAACCTTTGAGACTTCGTAATCATTTATTTAATGGATGAAATCGACACAGGTACACCTGGTGTTATAGGAGGAAGAGAAGTTCACAGTGACATCGCCTTTGCCAACTTCGAGGCCCACAAGTTCTCGTACTTAAACATTACAAGTCTTGGTTCAGATTATGTCCTCGATGGAGAAGAATGTGGTTTTGCATGTGTTAGCCTGCCGTCATGTTTCTCCTATAACCTGGCTGACATCAACGGAAGAATCTTATGTGAACTACTTCCATCGGACAAGTACAACAACTCGGACAAGTTCGTCAGCAACCAATCTTTCCATCACTTCAGTATTGTGGTAAGTTCATCAATGACAGTCTCTTTGAAATACATTTTGATAACAGCTTTTTCTTTTTTCTGTGTAAACTAATATCTTCAAGTTCATGGGAGACATTGGGTCAAACTTTTTAATGTATAATGTCAATACAAATGTCATAAATAGAACAGAATCACCGGATAAATGACTTGAGAGGTCTAATTTCTTTCAACTGACATTTAAAAGAAAACACAAGCGCGAATACACGACTGATTAGGTTCGACCTTTTAAGCTCGTTAAACAAAGCTAACAGCCAGGTTAACTCAGTGTATGACGTTTTTTCCAGCGAAAAGAGCGCCCTCATTTTTTCTACAGAAATATTAGGGTAGAAAAAATAAATAAAGGATATGACAAGGGGGCCCAAAGGAAATAAATTTTAATTCCGAGTAGTAAAATCAATATTTTACGAACAAGCGCAGCCTGATAAAAATTAAAGGATTAAAAATAAATATAACAGAATACTTGACTTGAGAGGCATAATATCGTTCAACCGACAATTACGGATCAAAACAACGACAAACTAAAGACTCCAATCGAACTTAGTAGGTTAGACCTTGAAGCTAGTTAAACAAAGCTACAGCTAACAGGCAGCCGTTAAATTCCTGTCTCATTTATTTTTCATGAAGCATAAAATATCCACACAGGAAGATCTTGTCATTTCAAGTTTTCCGCAAAAAAAACTACGCACTCATTTTCTTTACCAAAATTGCCTGATATATGAGTGCCGCCAAGATATGAAATTCAATTTTTTTTTTTTTTTTTTT